CTATCTCCCTGTCTGCTATTCAATTATCTATGCCATCACTTCTCGCTGGTCTTATATATACAAAATAGAGGACGTCTGGCAAACACCCGAGCCTTCAGGAACGTTCGAGATACTCATTACATGTTACCAGCGTCACGTGACTTTCGCTGTCGTAACAGATGCTTAAATCCTTACTATTAATTTTAACATTATTAACACATAAGCCTTTCTGATTTCCTAATTTCTTTTGTTTTAGCAAATTTTTAGCCTTTCTATAATATTGTAAATCACTTATCCTATCTGTCAATTTAAACTTCATAAATTTTTGATTTTATCCCACTTCACCTTTTAACTAATTTTCCCAATTCGTTTGTGATAAATCTTGTGTCATATACTCGAAATCGGCTTTGTTAAATAAGGAACTAAAGTTTAATTTCTTTTTATCTCAAAATTGTTTGTTTGTTTAAGTTCGCACACAGTTACTTAAAGGCTAATTTAGAAGTGATAGACAAGAGAGAAGTCAACTAGCCAATAACACTTTTGGATCACTCTTTACCAGCAAATAGTGGGACTGACCACAACATTATAATGACACCCACGGCTAAAAGGGGTGAGCATGTTCGGTGAGTGGACTCGAAACTAAATATCGCAGGATGCAAGTCGAGAAATCTTTACCACCAAGTCATGCCAAGCCATATCTCAAGATATAGCAAAACACCAAATGATCTCTCTTTCTCAAATATTCCCTATTTGAACTCTTACAGTCACGTACTTATTAGTAATTAGCAATAAATCTAAAATTGTATCCCCTGTGTTTAGCTTTCTGACCATTTGTTATCTATAATATTTTTAAAAATGAAATGCAAATTAAATTATAACAATGGGTTTGAAATATTTAACCAATGCCAAAGTCAATCCGTAATTTCACTTGCCTTTCAGTTTATTGTAACGGTCCCATAAATGAACAATTTGTATGGCCGAGTGAAAGGTGGGAGAATTTATGGATTCTTAAGGTGAGATACATCTAATGTTGAGGCTCATGTATATTTAGGCCAAATGAATTAACTATAAATTAGAAGTTCGAAAAGATTATGATCTAATACTCATCAGATTTTAAAAGGAATCATTTAAAAATAGGTAAATAGGGGTCAATATTTTATATCTTTTGTTTGAAATTCGTGGTAAATATTTGAAAATACTGAATAATGAAATTGAACTTGTGTTTGTAAACTGTACTGATTATATATTTAATTTTTAAATTAAAATAGTTCTCTTAAATCTTATTGAAACTATTAATATTAATTATTATGGACATGGAAAATCAAATAAGCACTCAAATACGTTTCTTCAATAATATTACATCACGAGTAAAGTATGAATCCAGTATAACTTGTAAGAAGAAAAAAAAAGGTTATCCAAGTTTGTTTACCAATTATGGGGGCATCAAACTTAATTTGAAGGCCATTATTCGCTTCAATAAGTACAATATATTAGGTAAAATAAAATATTATAAAATTACTTGCACTTGCGAAGGCACTTTTTATGTAGTATTTCTCGTATGTAACAGACAAGGAAAAGAACATTGAATCAATACAGGAAGAAGAGTGGTTTCCCTGGTCATTTAGAATTACTTCACAATATTTACTGCATGAATATCCTGTTAAAGTTATATAATAGACTTATTCACTCTTGGTGGGAATCAGTTTCATCTGACAATATCACAGTATCTGTGTCACTACTAGCAAGGGGTTTGCTCACCACCCAGAGAGTGGACAGAGAAATAGGGCCAAGGTGATAAAAGTTTCCAAGACACTTATGTAATTTATACCTAACTCATAGGTTCTCAGAATAAGTAAAATCATCAGCACATGTTTACAATCTTTTGACAAGCAGTTAAATAGAAATAGAATGCCATAACCATATTCAGAACACCTGTGGTAGTGCGAGTACTTTTCATGTTAAAGCTAGAAAATTTATGTCCTCTAGTAGGTAAACAACTGTACGTAGAGACATCTATTTTATTTTATACTAATAAGGCCACGTTATTTGTTTCTGATATATCTGAATTTGAGGATGGCTACAAAAGTGCAATTTGTTTGTTAGAATTTTTGTTTTCTACATTTCTGAAGCCAGTATATTTGATGCCCTCAAGTAGGTGAGTGACCCTGGTGACTTCTGTTTTTGTTTCTTATTTCAAAACTGCTTATATGTGACATATGAGAATCTGAAGATGATTTTAGATGTAGATGTACAAATAATTTTTTAGAATTTCTGCGTGTGGAAGCTAATAGACTTAATGTCTACTCATGGGCAAATGATCTTGGAGACCCCTGTTTATTTTTTCTTATATTAATCCTTTGACTGCAACTGCTCTAAATGTACGCAGAATTTTTGCAAGTCATACACTGTATGTGGCAGACTCGTATTCAACTGCCGGAAATGGACCGTACTGTATACAACGATTCAGTAGCCAGTGGGTTAAAATGTTAATAGTTGTCTGTGCAAAGTATGAATTCAAGGGGGTCTTTAGAAGTGCAAAGGATTTTTTTGAATTTATGTTTACTACAACATGTTCTTTGTCTGTGGCTTTTAGAAGTACAAGTAATGTTTTAGAGTATTTGCTTTCTATGACATGTTGGAGCTTATATCTTTGATGCCCCCCTAGTAGATAAAGACACTGTAGTCCCCCCCCTCTTTTTTTTTCTTGTATTGAAGCCATGCTCTTTGTGACACATGGAATTTAAGGGTGGCTTTAGAAGTGCAAATTATTAGAGACTTCCAAAATATTTATTTCCTACATTTTGGAACTAATAGATTTGATATCCTTTAGTAGGTATACCATTCTGGAGACCCCGTTTTAATATTTTTGATTCAAACTTCTGTTCCTTTTCTTTGACATATACAAATTTGAAGATGGCTTCAGAAGTATAAGAAATTTTCTAAAACTTTTATTCTTGACAATATGTTGGGGCTTTCATGATGTTAGAAAAACAAGTACGTTCAAGAAGTATTGATAGAAATGAATAAAAACCTTATAACCCAAGCACTTTTGAAAGGTGGACCTTTTTCCTTCAGGGGCAAATGGGCAAACTGTTAGAGCTAATAGTGTTGCTGTGCCATAGTAGATAAATAACTCTGGAGACCTTAATAATCTCATCTTATATTAACATTATTTGTTTGTGACATAAGTGCATTTGAGTGTGGTTTCTGAAGTTTAAATAATTTTTTATAATTTGTTTTCTGTAACATGTTGGAGATAGTAGATTTAATGTTCTTTAGTTAGTAAATTACCTTGGAGACCCCATTATTTCTTATCTTCTATCAAATCTTTGTTACTTAACTGTGACGTACATGTGAATTTTTGGGTGTTTCAGAACTGCAAAGTACTTAGGACTAGCTGGAGTACCTGTCCATTGGATGGGTGAAATGAGAACTCTTTTGTGACAAAGAATGGGAAATTGTGCTTCTATTTTTTTTTTCATTCTTAACATAATGAATATGAAACGTGCAACAAAAAATACATAAAGGTACCATTACTGAAAAGAAAAACATACAATTTTCAAGAATTCTAATAATATATACCCTCCCTCCCTCGTTACCTTCTTCATGTTATCTTGTATCACTGTGTCAAGTTTGGTGCTGATTGATGTTTGTTTATATAGATTTTTTTTCTCCAAAATGTCAGAGCTAGTAGATTTGATGCTTCCTAGGTAAGTGAATAAATGACCTTAGAAACCCCTTTTTTTCTTCCTATGTTAGTGACAAATATGAATTTTAGGATGGTTTCAGGAAGAGCAAATTATGTTTGTTTACTACAAAGTGTTGGATTCAGTAAATTTGATACCACTTTTTATATCTTTTATTAAAATGGTATTCTTTGTCTCTGATATATGACAATGTTGAGAGTGTCTTTTAGAAATACAAGAAATATTTTAGAATTTTGTTTTCTACAACACGTTCAAACTGGAAGTTTCGATTTCTCACAGTGAATAAAGAGCCTGGAGACTCCTTTTTTTGTTCTTATACTAAAGCCATACACTTTGTAACATATGGCTAATAGATTTGATGCCTTCTAGTGGGTTAAAGGCCTTGGATGCCCTAACGTTTTTTTTAATCAGATCTGTTTTTATGTGAAATAGGTGAATTTGAGAGTGACTTTGGAAGTACAATTATTTTTCTAGAATTTTTATATCTTGCAATATGTTAAGAGCTAAAACTTTTGATGCCTCTTATTGGTTATCAAATTTATTTTGTTTTTCAGTGATATAAATTTGAGGGTGATTTTTGAAGTGGAAATAAGTTTTATCATTTTTGTTTTCTGAATATGCTGGAGCTAATAATTTGATGCCCCTAGTGGATAAACAACCCTGGAGATACATAATTTTTTCTTCTTGTATCAAATCTATATTGTTTGTCTGTGACATGTTTCAGAACTGTACATAATTCTTTAGGATTTATTTTTCTATAACATGGAAGCTAATAGACTTGATGACCCCTAGTGGGCAAACAAACCTCCATTTTTTTTTTCTCTTTCTCTAGTAAAGCCATATTCTTTGTTGGCAACATATGTGAATTTGAAAGTGGCTTGAGAAGAGCAAGCAATTTTTGTGTAGTGGGTAAACAACCATAGAAACCCTGATTTCTTCAATTCATCTAACCAACAATTTGTTAATGAACCACGTTGAAAGTAGTCCTCAGTTATATACTCCGAGTTTTCTGGCCACCAATGTAATTACTTGATTTTTTATGAAAAGATATCATACTCAATTTGTTCTATGGGCTGGGAAGGTCAGAATGTTTCTGAGAATCCCGAGGTTTCATAAGTGATTTAAGAAACATTGTATGTGCTTTAGATGCCAGTTCAGTAGAAATACTTGCTGGAGCCACAGAAGCATGATGATTGAAATTATCCTTGACTAAACTTTACTGCTACTTTGGTTGTACAGTGAACCTGGTATTTAACTCTTCAC